CCCGGCCGCGTGGCGCGCCCCCCGGAGTGGGGGGTGCGCCGGCCAGGCCGTTCCCGGAGCGCGGCTGCGCTCTAGATGTCCCTCTTCTGCTCCAAATCCAGCAACATCCACCCAGTCTTATATATGAATGCTCATTGCCACTCTATTCATAATAGCCCCAGGTTGAAGACTCCCAATGTCCATCCATTCGTGGAACAAACTGCTGGTACATGTGTTACAATGCCTATTGCAATATTGATTCCTGTTGTATCTAAACCTCACATAACGCTTTGCCAGCGTTAACTCCACTGTGAAAGCTGATAATATAGCTCTGTTTTGCATGTGTGCATTTTTGCAATGTCATACCTGTGGTAACAGAGGTGACAGGTGTCTTGTTAATGTCTTTCATGAGCTAGTAGGCCTCAGGACATCTCCCCCCCCCCCAACTTTGACATCTAGAAGCTGAGATAACATTGATACTGGTCTTTTTCAAATGTCACCATGAGGGAACTGGCCTCCTGGACTGAGTGCAAGGTTTCTCCCATGAATACATGGCTGCTTATTGGCAAGGTGTGCTGGTGAGCCCTGCTGTTTTCCTTTTACTTCCCGGCCTTTTACTTGACTACGTATTTGCCTATTTGCTTGTGTGTGTGCTCTGTAATAAACTGTTGCTATCTCTAAACTCTTTCCTCTGTGGCTTGTTACTTGGTTTAGGCATTAAGAACTGCCCTCCCACAGAAAGGTTAAATTGTTGACAGGTGTTGAGGAAACTGGATCCTCTTTGTTGGTCCAGAAGTGACAACATGCAACCATGTGGATCGATCTGTCACAGGAGTGTTCCAGGCAGGGAAAAGCTGTTGGCTAGAAAGCAGATAGGTGGTTCCCTAAAGCCGAGGGTGGGAGAATAGACTGGCTGCAAAGGGGTGCAAGGGAACTTTGCAAGGTGGGTAAAATGTTTTGTATCTTGGCTATTATTACAAAACTGTAGTTTTCTAAACTCACATGGAACACTAAAATGGGAGAACCTGACTGCATGTAAAGTATAACTTAAAATCCTCTAAAATATTCACCACATCAGAGTATAAGCACATAGACCTATACAATCCCCTCTCACTAGACTCCAACCACTTTGGACTTTCTACTTCCTCTAAAGATTCTCGAAGTGTGGCCCTGAATGGAACCTGGGGTTTAGTCTGTGAAATATTTTGAGACAAGTAGCTACTCAGAGCATGCAGTTAGAAAATGTAATAGCAATTGACAACACTGTAATATCCAAGTGTGTGGTGCCTTTTTTAGTAATTGTTCATGTATTTATAAAAGTATTTGAACTTGGCAACTGGGTTTTAAAAAGTTATACCAGAGTCAGAGTGAATGTAGCAAATTTTAGGGGGAAAGAAGTTGCTTTTTATATATACACCCAAATGATGTGATCATCTTTGTCTTTGCGTCTAAAATATCTTTCCTTGAGTATACAGTAAAAATTATAAGTGATAAGTTTTATTCAGAGAATACTAAAACAAGAACACCAAAAAATGATTAACATTCTTCAGTATATGTTAAACCTGCAAAAAAACATTCCATCTCTTGGGCTGGCTCTATGGCCTAGCGGTTAAGAGAATATCTCACATGGCTAATCTTATGGTTCAAATCCCAGCCCTAAAGGCTTAAAAAACATGTCAGGTACATTTACATGCATGGCCATATCCCAGTAAGACAGAGAAATAGAGGAGGAAAGACTGCAGTGTGACCAAGCCCCATGGTGGGTGCTTTCTCTGTCCCTCTCAGGTAAAATATAAGAGTTTCCACTTCTAGAGCTACTCATGGTTTTAACAGCAGGTGGCTGAATCAATCACCTTAAATCAAATGCTAAAGAAAATGAGCCTTGTAAATACTTGAACATTGGCCTTTAAGAGGTAGCAAGATTGTCACTAGCAATTCTTTATCAGCCTATTTGTCTTTTTTTTTTTTTTTTGAGATGAGAGGTTTTTGATACAGGATGTGTGTGCTCACCAGAAAGAGAGAGACAGAAAGCAAGAAATCACCCCCAGGGGGATTGGCACGCTGCAATCTCTTCTCCATTCTCCTCTCAGGATCATGTGCACACATGCACACGTGCCCAGTGTGAGTTTAAGCCACTGGGTCTGGGACTAGAACTGTGGTTGACTACACGGGAGTCCAGTGACATAGCTATTACACCAACTGCTGGTCCCAGCCTATTTGTCTTAAAACATATATATAATTGTAAAATCTTTCCCTCGGAGGTCTTTGAATACAGAGGTTAGATATTAACCAAGAGGTAATCCTTATAAACAGTCCTGCCTCAAGAGGAAAGTGCATAAAATAGTTTGGAGACAGCATTCTCTTCCCATCTATTTTACCAGAAAACAAAATATAGCTTCTCCTAAATGGCCTTTATTCAATTAAATACCAAATGAAAAGATTCGTGGAATGTCTGTCAAGTGACTATGAGGATGGGGAGGGTTTTCAAAATGCTCATGGCAAATGTATATTGTGAAAAAACTATGGATCTCATACCTTTTTTGCACCAAAACAAACTCACACCATGTTTAAGCAGGATCTAGTTTGAAACTTTTAGAAGTATAAAACATCAGTTTGAAATGAGCCCTATCAAAACAACACGAATTCTGCTAAAATTGATGCAAGAACAAGCATCAAACTTATGGCTAAGCTTAAGTGGGAAAAAGATGAAGTCACTGACTCTTCACGAAGTTTATGGACACAATGCTTCCAAATCAGCAGTTTACAAATGGATAATTCATTTTAAGGGACAAGACAATGTCGAGAATGATGCCAGCAGGGATAGACTGACCACTTCAAACTGTAAGGAAACTTACCGTTTTGTTTATGCCCTAACTGAAGACAGACAATTAACAGCAGAAACAATAGCCAACACCATAGAAACCTCAATTGGTTTAAATGACAGAATTTCAACCAAAAAACTAGAGATTTTTCTGCTTAATGGGTGCTAAAACCACTGTGCTCACATCAGTGCAGATATGGGCCAAATTGTCACTGGAAATTTTAAATAGGTTCTGAAACATCTCTTCAAAGAACTGTGACTGGAAGTGAAATAAAGCTTTACCAGTAGGATACTGACGACAAAGCAAAGCAACGGCTACCCAAAGCTGGAAGTGGTCCAGCAAAGTAAAATTGGACTGGGTCAAGAGCAAAGGTCAAGGGAGCAGTTTTGAAGCTCAAGGCATTTTGTGGTGAGAAGAGGGCCAAAGGATAATAACTAACATTTGCTTATTATCATTTGGCTTCAGCAGAATCACACCAGAGAAAGCTTTACCAGAGGCTGAATGTCATTCTCTTCATCAAACGATGACAATTTTGTGAGTTCCAATGGGAAATCATTAGAATCTTATGGTCCTGGTTTGGTTCCGACATCTTTTTGTTTCCTAATATTAAAAACATGTTAAAGGGCACCCATTTACTTTAATAATGTAAAAATGACTGCATTGACGGTTAAACTCCCAGAATCCTCAGTTCTTTAGGGAGGAAGTAAATGGCTAGCACCAGTGCTTATAGACTGTCTTGAGTTTGATGAAGTTTATGTTGAGAAATAAAAGTTTATATTCTTTTATTCCACTTTTCCGTGAACTTTTTGAAGTCCAGTCACATTATGTTTTATTCTCTGAAGGATATACCTACCGTTCAGAGCACAGCTATTACCTAGCTTCTGTGACCTAGTTCTCCTTAACTTTCATCAAAACTGTTAGTGTTTCTGTCTCACTGGCTGCCCCAAAATAACACTAGGAAAGCATTGTATTACAGAGTTTTGTCTATCTACCAAAAGTGTCTGATAATAGGGCTACAAGCCAATAAACAGTGTCATCACAGAATACAAAAAAGTTTATTGTACAAAATTAAGGCATTCATATTTCATTATTCACTAAGGCTAAAGACTAATTTGTTTAAGTCCTTCACAAAAATTTCACTTTCATTTCCTCTCCATCTCCAACTATTAAAATGACCTGACCAAATGTTATCAAAACAAACACTATAAATAACACCAAGTCCTTTTTAGACGACTCTTCTGAAAGTTATTTCTTGGCATAGGTGATCTTCATAGCATGTGATGGTGTGATCTTAAATCCTTGCAAAGCATCCCTGGCAGCTCCAGCCTGCCCATCGTTCTCAAATTCAACAAAAGCAATGTCGTGCCTCCCAGGTACCAAACGTACTTCCTTGAAGCCAGGGAACCTGTAAAGGAGAAAAGCCATTTATATATACATGTATACGTACATAAGTGACAACAAACATGTAAAGGGCTACTTTGTTGTTAAATTAACTTTCTGATATCGGTCCAGTAAAAGAAATCACACCATCATTCTGCCAAGAATATTGAGGAGGAAAAAGCATAAAATATAAACAATACCATAAAAGAACCATAGAAACAAAAGAAGTTAACTCTATTTCTTTATAACAAAGCTTTGTTTCCTACTTTACTCATCAATTAAAATTAATAATTCCAATACTACAGGAAATTCAGCTTTCCATTTCATAATTAATCATAGCCCAAATCAACCAATCTATGTTGTAACAAATGAACTCAAATTATGGAAATGCTATTAGCCCTATCAGCAGGCCCTCAGAAATAGGCTTGTTTTTGAAACAATAAAAAAACTTACTGATTAAACAGCATGGATAACATCATCTCATTAGTCTCTTCTGGTAAATTATTAAGGAACAAAATATAGTTTGGAGGGTAATCAGGAACCTATCCAAAAAAAAAAAAAAGCAAAGTTAGCTTATAAACAAGCATTGTAAACCATTTGGTTCTTACATTAAAACCTAGACTTCAGAGAGCTACATTCCAGTTTACATAGGCTACTGAAATATTACAATAAACACTAAAGCTAAAAAAAAAACAGCAGAGAGAAAGAAATACAAACCTAACAATAACTAAGTAAGCAGACATTCAATTTGAGACATTCTAAATTTGAAAGATTTTAAATCTTATTAAAGGTTTTAAAAGTATCTAAGAATATTGAAAACATTTATGTTTTAAACATTTGGAGGTTGGGACCAGCAGTTACCATAATGGCTATGTTGCTGGACTTCCATGTAGTTGACCATGGTTCGAGTCCTGGATGCGGTGGCTTAAACTCACACTGGGCGCATGTGTGTGTGTGACCAAGATCTCGAGAGAAGAATGGAGGAGAAGAGATTGCAGTGTGGCCATCCCCCCGGAGGGTGATTTCTTGCTTTCTGTCTCTCTGTCTCTCTCTGTCTTTCTGGCAAGGGGCAAAAATCTATCCAAAAATAAATAAATAAACAAACATTTGGAGGTCAATCATAATTGGAGAATTTTGTCATCTGGATTACCCCTTGAAAGATCCTAACAAAATGAGAGAAGACAGCAATGTCAATCCTCCTTGACTAATTAACCTCACTCAGGAAATGCTCAGATATCCAATTCCTCTGCATTATTGTCTACTACCTTCCACCATATAAGAATAGTTGAAACCAGAAAGATTATCACTGAGAACCACTATTTAATGACTTTCTATTTACTCATCTTTTGCAAGCAAATGAGTTACACAAAGCATCTAGTTACATACAAGTAAGTAGAAATAGAACTGCTATTAGATATTCAACTATTTATATGATGATACCACACTCTGAAGTTATGGCAATCTACAGGAAAGGGTCCTGTCTTTAAGAAAAGCCTTGCTATCTTCAGGTGATTTCATGAATGAGAAAAGATCAAGCATAAAGAATGACTAGTGAATAATTCACAGCTTAGAGAATTAAGTCCTTCACAAAAATTTGTGAACTAAATTATAAATACTCAAAGAGTTCAAAGAAATGAAGTAGATATTATAAGAAAATGCTAAATAACATAAAATCAGAATAAAACCTCAGTGGTTCAGAGAATTCTCAGGATTTAAGGATTTTGCTGGACTAGCATCTGAAAAGGCATGTAGGAAAGAAACCATTAGACATTACTGTGGCTTGCTCTATGAGGCAATGTGGAAGATATGGAAGGGGTTTCTAAAACTTTTTTATAAAAGAGACTAACCAAGATAAGACTGAAATACATCTGTGCAGAGGCAGTGTGAGCACAGGTACTTTTACCAAAGGACGCTGCCCGAGGAGCGTGTGAGCCCATCAGAAAAGTTGGTACAGGGTTTCAGTCAACTGGGATGGTGATAGCCCCCACCTCACCAGCTACTCAGAGCAGACCCTATAAAGTGCAGGCTTTGTATTATAGAGAAAACAAAAATGTTTGCTCCCAGCCTTCACAGCTGAAAATCTGTGATATTGATTCTGTCACTGATTCATTATGGGAAGCAAAGAATAAAGCAAGGTTTTGTTTTTTCTCAGAGAAAATTAAAATATTTAGACGACTGAGTGCTTACAGTAAAAAGTGGGATACACTTTAAGGTGTTATGTCTTGCAGATAGAATTATCATCATCATTATTATTATTATTATTGAAGACATGAAAGTTACTGTTTCTCACTATTGTAATGTTTATCATTTTATTTTTTCATTTGGTAAAGGGTGCATAGGCTCACAAGAAAGAAAGAAAATGAGAAAGCACCCTCCAGGGGGCTGATTACACACCATAATTCCTTTGCCTCCACTTCTCCTTTTAGGATTGAGGCACTCATGCACACACGCCAAGTGTATTCTCAAAGCCACTGGATCTGGGACTCAAACAGCAGTTGGCCATGTGGGATCCAGCTACCTTACCAGTTGGCTCCAGAATTTTATTTTAAAGTTAAGTACCACATGGAAAAAGAAATTACCTGAGGATTTGGTGTTGAATTTCCTTGGGTATTAGCTGAATTTGGTGTTCCCTAAAAAGAATAGGGAAACAGTTAAAAATTTTCAACCCCACATAAGAGGCAACAGGTATTCATAACTACTGCATAAAAATGACATCAGTTTTGACAGTTATTCTATTTAATTTTACTTTCTTTAATCAAATTTTAACTATGACACAAAAATACATGTGTTTAACTTGTCAGTTATTTTTGAAGAGTCTAGGCCTAGACTTTAAAGACTATAACATAAAATGTAACCTCTAAGCTTTGAAATTACAGAGATAAGAGAAAACCAAGGAGTGGTCTTAAAAAAAAATGACACAAGTCATTATACTTAGTAAAAGTGATTTTTAATCACTTTCAATCAAAAAGTAACTACCTTTTGAATAATTTCACTTTATTTGGTATTTCAAATTAGATTTTACATTCCTGAACTGTTCAAAGAAAAAAGCTTTGCATACACATAATTAAAGATATCTAAAATACTATTTATAGGCAGTAGTATTTGAGAAATAAGCAACTAGATATTAACATATTTTGGCAAATGGAATTAAATGTTATGACAATTTAAATCCATTTAACATAAATCAATCTGACTATGGAAAGGTTTATGTTTTAATTTGTTGCTTAAATATAGATACTGTAACTATAGAACCTGGTGATTCCAGCTTTTTAAAATTCTACCTTTTATACATACATATATGTATACACACATACATGACTCAAAGATCACCCTTCCTGCGTAAGACAGGTATCTGTCAACTCTTCAACATAAAAAATATAGGCCCTTTTGTCTATCATACCTGGCCAGGTTTTTTGTTTGCAGTTGTGGCAGCCTGTTCCACAGTCTTGGCTTTTTTCTTTTCTTTTTTCTTCTCTTTGTCAGCAAAAGTGCCACGCATTTTAGATATTATATCAGAGTCTGTTTTTGCATACTGGATTCGCTGTTTTAATTATTTGAAAACAGGTTACTTATTATATTGAAAGCTTTTCACACAAGTCATTAATATTTTATATTTCATTTCACAAATATACTACAAGCGAATTTTAAATACATCCCTAAGGAAATCTGTCAAAACATACTGAGTGCCAAACGGAAATAAATTAGAGTTTATGATATACAACTTAGACAAAGTTAGATTCAACTGTGTTTATTAAAAGGAAAACGATGCATTTTCATATGGGAGAACAGGAATTTGAATCACCTGCATCAATGCTTCCCTCCATTTAATAAAAGAACAAACTGTCTGGAAATTTGTCTACTCCTTAGCAGCTACTCAACAGAAGGGTCAGCGTGGGTCAACTGTGGAGTGTGTCATATGGAATTTATTACTTCCAATAACATACTAAAGTCTGGGAATAACTATAGTTCTAAAACTTTCTTCGACAGTCTGTGCACTTGCCAAAGAGAGAGAGGAAGAGAAAGAAAGTGAGAAAGAACTCCCCAGGGAGGACAATCGTGCCACAATCCCTTCCTCTCCATTTTTCCTTTTGGGAATCTGGGCAAGCATGCACATGTGACTGGTGTGTTTTTCAAGCTGCTAGGTCCAAGACTTGAACCATGGACCATATGGGGTCCAGTCACCTTAATCACCACACTACTAGCTGGCCCAACTTTCCTTCAATTCTATAATTTTTCTTAACAAAACATCAATGGTGGCATCAATATAAATTTTAAAATGCTTGAAAAAGAAACAAAAGGATGGTGTAACAGCTGGTGTGACTGCACCAAGTGCTTTTTCTAACTATGCTGGAACCAGCAGGGACAGCGGGCACCTAAGACAATGTGGGAGCATTCAAAACCACTGATCTAAGAAGGCATCTCTTCACCTAGAGTCTGCATTCCAATTGCTTGGAGAGACTGTGCAAGTGCAGATTCTGACACAGTAGGTCTGGGTGAGGACTGAGATTATGCACTTGTAACAAGCACAAAAGACATGGTGACACCACCAGAATGGGGAACACTCCGAGTGGTGGGAGGCCCTGGACTAAAGCATTAGCACCTAGCTAGATTCAGCACCAAAGACCTGTCCAAAAGTTTTGGAAGTAAGTTAAACTGTTAATTGGATATTTCTATGCAAACTACAACTTCTACTTCAAGCAAACTCTCTCTCTGGAGCTGAAAGACTACCTCTCTGAAACTATCAAAACACAATAATCCTATAAGTTATCACCTAAAAGTACCCTGTTCAGCAAGAATTTTATTTCAGACTAAAGAGAACTAGACACTTGAAGCAGTATAGAATAAAAAGCAGGGAATTTGTCAAAACCAAAAGCAATTCTTTCTTTTCCTAGAGAGAATGTACAAGGGGAATCTTTAAAAAGTTTATGGAAAGAATGTATTCTTGAAAAAGTACACACTGATTTCAAAACTGTTTGCATAGGGACCAGCAGTTGGCGTAATGCTGTCACTGGACTCCCACATGGTAAACCGTGGTTTGAGTCCCTTACCCGGTGGCTTAAATTCACTCTAGGTACATGTGCATACGTGCCCTAGATCCCGAGAGGAGAATGGAGGAGAAGGGACTGTAGCGTGGCCATCGCCCCTGGGGAGTGATTTCTTGCTTGCTGACTCTGTCTTTCTGGTGAGTGCACACACCCTATAACAAAAGCCATTAAAAAATAAAACACCTGTTTGCATCAAGATAAACTCATACTTTAATTCCATTTTCCCATGAGGTTTATGTATTCTTTCACTGAGGAAACAAGAGGGGAGTGGGCCTACCCCTCAGAGCTCTAGGTCTTTTCTGGCTGGTCTGGACTGCTGTACCACCACAGTCTTATCCCTGAAAGCTACTCTGATAGTCTTGCTGTCTTCGTTTTTTGTTTGTTTGTTTGTTTTGAGAGGTTTTCCCTATAGGGCGCGTGCGCTCGCCAGACAGAGACATAGAGACAGAAAGCAAGAAATCACCCCCCAGGGGGGATGGTCAAGCTGCAATCCCTTCTCCTCCATTCTCCTGTCAGGCTCTTGGGCACGCATGCGCACGTGCCTGGCGTGAGTTTTAAGCCACTGGGTCCAGGACGCAAACCGCGGTCAACTACGTGGGAGTCCAGTGACATAGCCATTACACTAACTGCTGGTTCCCAGTCTTGCTGTCTTCTAACCAAAGGAGACAGGCTGACAGCATAGACTAACTTCTGACTTGGTCATAAGGAATCCCTTCCAACTCCCATGGGTCTTCAACCTTGTCTCCAAATAGATCTTGGATGAACTAGTTTGTCCTTAAAGGTCACCTGGGGAAACATGTAATTTCAGCAATAGCTCTTGGCTGGCTGGTCTAAACCAGTGGTTCTCAACCAGAGGTGACTCTGCCTGCCAGGGGACATAGAGATATTCCTGATTGTCATGTCACTGGCATCTAGTGACTAGATGCCCTATAATGAATAGGACAGCCCTCCAACGAAGACTCTTTCAATTCAAAATGCCAACAGTGCCAGTATTGAGAAGCCCTGGTCTAAACGAAAGACCCATATGAGCTAAAAGTCCACACACAGCTTTAAGACAGAGAAAAGGAAGATATGCATTTATGCCAAAGGTTTCATGGCAGAAGCTCTGAGGGAAATGGTTTTACTTTACTGAGATATTTCTGGGATTAAGTAACTATCTTTGACTCACAGAGAAAGATTTTGTTCTGAGTCCCAAGTTAGAGCAATTTTTTTTTCATTTCTGATTTGATATGTTGGGATTAAAATACAGCAACTAAAACCACCTAAATAAATATAAGTAATATAGCTCACGGAACTCCATTCCCCCTCTCCCAGGAGGCTGGCAATTTACCTGCTACCTTTCTGCAGTGGACAGACTGACCTCCTAAAATACCTTTAATATAAAGGCACTCTAACAGACTTTCTCCATTGATTTCAAATCACTAGTTGGCACAGCAAGGCTGGTGCTGGACATGCAGACAATCTCCACTTTTCCTGCATCTGAGTAGTAGGCACAGGCACTTGTCATCCCAACTCAGCAAAATGGACCTAAAACCCTCTATGGAAAGAAACTGCACCTTCACATTAAAATAATTTAAACTAAATCTCAGTCTTATTTCCTAAAGAGTGAGATCTTAATTATGCTAGTTACTCATACTACTAAGAAAGATCAGCTGGTGTCAGAAAATGCCAATTTACTGAAAATTAAGGCGTACAGGCACCTCAGCTTCTTGGGATAGACCTTTCCACACTGATGTGAAATGGTGGGAAAGAGATGGGTGGAAGGTGAAAATAAAACTTGCTCCAGCAACAGAAAAAAGGTGCTCAGTCCTGAATTAAATAATATGCTATATAACAGAAGTTCTCAAACTACTGTCAGCACCGCCTGTTTGGTCTTGCTGGAACACAGTCATACCCACTCATCTGCATACTATCTATAGCCGCTTTTCCTGCTATGAAGGCAGAGTTGTGGGAATAGCTGCAACTGCGATCATCTGGCTAGCAAAGCCCAAAATATTTACTATCTGACCCTTTACAGAAAATATGCTGACTCCTAGTACGGGGTGGGGGGGATCAGAATACTGTTTGCAAGTCCTGATGCACTACTGGTGATAACCTGGTCAAACAATTAACCTTTATGTGCCTGATTCTTCCTCCATATAAAGAAGGGATTAGACTGCTGGTCTGGTCTGTACTATAGCCTGTGGGCCAAATGCTTGCCCATGAAATATTTCTGTATGGCCTGCAAGTTAAGAATGTTTTTCATACAATTTTAAAGGGCTGTTAAAACACACACACACAAGAATAGGTAACTGAAACTCTGAAGCTCACAAAATCTAAAATATGAGATAGTCTTCAAAAGTTCACGGAAACTGGTAACGAAAAAACTGTGTGGATCTGAAAATTCTTCTGTAACAAAAAAACCCTCATACTTTAATTCCCCTTTTTTTAAAAAAATAACATTTTTCTGCCTCATAATTACTATCAGGTCCTTTATAGAGCTTTTGCTGACTTCTAAATTAGACCAACCTGCTTACACTTCAGAGGCAGTGAAACTGAAAACAAGCACAGAGCTAGTTAATGGTAGAACCAAAATGAGAGCCCAGATCCTCTAAACCTAGAGTCTTGACTTTCTCCAACATCATTCACATCTCATCCTAATCCCTAAAGGCAGAATGCAATCCATACTCAAGATACTGTGTACAGCGGGACCAGCAGTTAGCATAATAGCTATGTCGCTGGACTCCCACAAAGTAAACTGCAGTTCAAGTCCCGGACCCGGTGGCTTAAAACTCTGCCGGGCACGTGTGCATGTGTGTCCAAGATCCCGAGAGGAGAATGGAGAAGGGATTGCAGCGTGGCCATCTCCCCTGGGGGGTGATTTCTCGCTTTCTGTCTGTCTCTGTCTGTCTGGTGAGCGCACATGCCCTATAGTGAAAACCTCTCCAAAAAAAAAAAAAAAGATACTGTGTACAGCCACTCCTGACTTAACAACCTACCTGTTCAATGATGGCTCAGATTTAGAGTAAGTTCTCCGGCATGGAGAATCCCTTCTCAGTCTTTGCCACATTCCCTAGTTGGTTAATATTCATGACAAAGTATTTGCAATCACACAAGACTGCATATTTTGTTTATAAATTTATACTTTATTGTACATCCATGGTAGTATTCAGAATAAGTAAATACTTTTTGTATGGATAGAATTACATTTTTCTAGTGAGATGTCATGTGTTTTCCAATGAAAAACACACTCCCTGTGGTGCCACAACACACTACAAGACATCCGTCTTCATGTTCTTCACTTATTAACTTATTTACCTAGTTCACCTCCTAAATGGGAGTTCTTAAGTAAGGAGTGTCTATAACTCACTTAACACACAGAACCTGCTGCTTTACACTGTTTTTACTCTCATCTTATCCTTTATCATCGGACTTACACCAGTGGCCTCCTAATTGAGTTGTCTACTTCCCCTTTGGCCATCACACAATCCAATCTTCATCCAGCAGTCAGATGCAAATCTCATTATGTCACTTCTGAGTTCAAGACTCTCTCTTTTTTTTAAAGAGAGATTTCTGTCATAGAATGCATGTGCTCGCCAAAGAGACAGACAGACAGAAAGCAAGAAATCATCCTCCAGGGAGGATTGCCACACTGCAACCCCTTCTCCTCCATTCTCCCTTTGGGATCTTGAGTGCCCGCGCACGTGCGCACGCGCACACGCGCACACACACGGGCGTGCATCATGTGAGTTTTAAGTCCCTGGGTCAAGGAATCATACCACAGTCAACTACGTGGGAGTCCAGTGACATAACCAGTACACCCTCTGCTAGTCCCTGAGTTCAAGACTCTCTATGTATAACTTTTATTTCCATTTATTGTTATTCATAAAATCTATCAACTTCAATCTATGACTTTTCCTTAGATCACTGTTCTATCTAGATTCTATGGCTTCTAATATATGATAGCATTTCACTACAGTATTTACTTAAACTTCAAATTGTATTTCCTCTTTAACTCATGATTTTTGTTTTGTGTTGTTTTACAAATTTATGGTGGCTTCTTTTTAAGTATTTTGAGTTGTAAATTTCTGGGTTTTTCTGAGTTTTTCTGTGGTAATAATATTACATATATTGCCATTATGTTTTTACAACTTCGTGTTTTATTTTTGCCCATTTGAACTGTCATAAAGAGTGAATTAAACTGTTACTGTAATTATATAAAAATATATAAAATAAACCCAAACGACCTTTAACACACAGAATTAAAAAGAGAAACCAACAGCCATAGTTTCAGTGTATATTTACAACTCTACAGAATCATTAATAGTGATTAAAATGAAAATAGGAAAACTGACTTACCATTGGTTTACCATAAAAAGGAAACCCTTGTAACTGTCTCAAAGCGTTGGTGGATGAGCCCAATTCCTTAAATATAACGAAGGCCTGCCCCCTCATCTTCATGGTCTTTAAAGCCACAATATCTACCACATGGCCAAACTGAGAAAAAAGGGCATACAGGGATCTCTTCAATTCTGTCCAAATTAAAAAAAAAAAAAAAAAGTTATTTGTAAATAGAAGAATGGCAAAGTTCTTCATAAATTCTATATTACTCATAAATGCAATGAGTGCACCATTTATTTATTTATAAGGTCAAAACACATACCATTCTCATTTGCTATTTAATTTATATAGTATTGAAACTATTACATGAGTAAAAACAGATTCAGCATATTGTCACCAGTCCCTATTTTATTTATTTTACGTTTTTAGGCTTTTGCCATAGGGCGTGTGCATTCACTAAAGAGAGAGAAAGGGAAAATGAGAAATCATCCCCTGAGGCTATAGCCACACTGCAATCCTTTCCCCTACATTCGCTAGGAATTTTGGGCATGCACACACTTCACGGTACGATTTTCAAGCCACCAGGTCCAGGACTCAAACTAGGGTCAGTGCCTTAACTACCACATCAGTTGCTGGACCCCATTTTAATTTTTAAAAAAGTTTTAAAATTCTTACATGAATAGGGATAAACCACAATTTCAGGCACCAAGAAAGCTAACTAGATAAGATGTTTTGAAGGTGTACAATTTTTCAGACAGCAGTGAATACACACATTTTGATTGAGAACAAATATTTTAGAAAGCACTTACCTTCTTTTTTAATTTTGTCATTCATATTATTGATATAAATTGTATGATTTGGTCGGATATCCATGTTTGGGTTAGACTCTTCAAACAGCTAAGAGACAGTGGAGAATCTGTTACAAACAGAAAGGATTAATTCACACTGGAGTGTAGCACAGGGACAACACAAGCGTTATTAACTTTCAATTCTCTTCCAATCCCAAATGTTGGAAGCTGGACACAGACTTTAACACCTCTCCAACACTTGCTAGCTCTCCTTTTTACACAAAAGAACAACAGTTTTTAGGCTTAAAACTTGGTGGTGCACTAATACCTAGCCAGATTTCAGTAACATCATTTTATTCAACACATTTGTTATTATACTGATCTTTCACTTAAGATAAGTGATACTGTCCACCTACCTAATGAAATAACTTCTCTTTGCTAATGAGATTTGAAAATTTAGATGGAAGGAAAATGGAAAAGAAACTAGCAAATAGACATCTAGTAAAATTCATTTAGAACACTAATGAAATCTGCCAATTATATACTTTAAGGTGGCATTTACACTCAAGAATTTACATACACCATCACCAGCTCTCCGATTCCAAGGATCCCTCTAACCAACCCACACGAAAGAAAGTTGCAAACAGCAGTACTGCATGCTGGTTAAGAGCGCAGATTCTAGTACCACCCAGATCAGAGCTCAAATCCTGTCTATGCCTCCTACTAGCTGCTTAGTGAGGGCAAGTTTCCTAATTTTTCAAATCCCCATCTGTAAAATGGGGATGGGAATAGCACCTACCTAGTAGGTCTCAGAAGACATTTAAATGAGATAAAGTTCCAACACAGTTCCTGCATCAAGAGTAAGCCCATAAAATGGCTATCATGTTAAGGATTTTGCTTACACAGCTAACAAGCAACAAACCCAGAATTCAGCTCTTGCCTTCTTTCATAAGCATAGCACTAATCTCTTACACTGTTTTTGGTTGCAAATTGTGCACTTGCTTCATGTCTTTGGGCGCCCACCTATTTCTTTTATCTCAAATATTTACTGACGACACGTTCTGTGAGTAGCCCTTGAAGACTGACAAAGGAAAAGTCCCTACTCCCTTTCTCAAAGGCTGACGACCCCTTAAAACTGAAACTTGGAGAAGGGGCGGAGGTCATGAAGACGGGGAGGAGAGGGCAGCGACTGACAACAGAGCTGTGAGTGTGTGATCACAGGAGAGCGCCTGCAATACCTACGCGAGGTGAGACGGTGGGCTGAGTTAGCACCGGAACACCGCACCCCTCCACTAAGGCACCAGCAAGCGCCCGGGGCGGTGGGTGGTAAGCGCTTCGCGCCGACCAAGGGGCGTGATTACCCTGCACTTTGTAGGTGCAAAGTCCCCCCACCCAGACACACGCACGTTCGCCCAAGGGCCCGGGCCGGTGCCGAGAGCGGCCACGCGATCCCCAGCCCCAACCAGTGCCGCTAGAGCACTAGGTGCCTAAATTTGGGGGCCTCACCGCGCCAGCACGTCGGACTCCATCCCTCCCTCGCCTCCAAACCGACCTCCCCACGAACGCCGGGCGGTCCCCACGCTGCGACCACGTCCGGTCCCGGCTCCAACCCAGGACACTTGGACAGAACACGAGAAAACGCGGCGAGGTAGACGACGCTCCACCTTACCTGAGGCCTATGCGTCTCCCGTAGGAACCGAAAGCCGGAAGCGGAGCCAAACGCCGGAAGTAGCGCTACCACACTCCTCAATCGAGTACCGACAAGTCGGAAGGCCGAGAGCCGAGTCGATCGATGCCTTCGTCTCCTGCGGCCACAGCTTGGAAACTTCTGTGCGCTTGCTCAGACCCGGCTGATCAGGGAAAGTGGCGGGAAGGGGGAACCAGGAAGAGGAATCCGGACCAGGAGGACTGAGTCAACGGTGTCGGGGCAGACTAGAATCTTGAGACTGTGCTGTGTGGGACTAGGAACAGGGAGTGATTCATTTCCCGCACGACGACCTTGCGAGGTTTTACCCCATACACGATGCCTTTGCATCTTTCCTAATCCTGTATCATTTTACAGACGCAGCCCCGCATGCTGAGCAGGTAGCCAGGGTCTAAAGGCCCCTGGTTTAACTCTGGCTTTGGACAGCGGCCCGTTCCTAGCCTCCTCTGACTCTGGAGGCCTGTACTACAATACCCTGCAATGCAATCAAATCTCAAAGCAGCCCAGTCTGGGGACCCAGAGCTGAGAGCATAGTACTTGAATGGCTTTAAGATCATCACTGCAAGATCATCAGCCTGAATGCCTTTATATCCTCCCACTCTTCCCGCAAAATGCCTAAATCTTTCCAGGCGAACATACAAAGTTTGTGTTTATGCCATATTGAATGAGAATTCCAAAACGTGTGTGCATTCACTCTTTCATTAAATGTGTGTAAAAGTATTACCTAGAATACAAGGAATTGTTAAGAAATAAGGGGAGGGGACCAGCAGTTAGCCTAATGGCTATGTCGCTGGACTCCCACGTAGTCGACTGGACAGCGGTTCCAGTCCCGGACCGGTGGCTTAAACTCACGCCGGGCACGTATGCGTGCGTGCCCAAGATCCTGAGAGGAGAATGGAGGAGAAGGGACTGTGGCGTGGCCATCCCCTCTGGGGGTGATTTCTCGCTTTCTGTCTCTCTGTCTGTCTGACGAGCGCACGCGCACCCTATAGCAAAAACCTCTCCAAAAAAAAAAAAAAAAAAAAACACCCGAAAAAAAGAGACCACCAAC